CCATTTATTTAGAAGTCTAAATTGGGCAAACCTATTGGACAATAGGAATGCCATACATTAGTGTCGTGGGAGGTTTGTTTGATGTCTCAGGGTGTTAGATTTTTAAGAAGGTTGTTTGTTGTGGCAGAGAGTCCCTAAAGCTAGCGAGGTATTCCTATGTGGGCTTTTTCTTTGTTTGACTTTTTCTCGCCTTTTTTCTTATCTCTTTTTCTATTTTTGGTTTTTGTGTGCTACCTTCAGTTGCTACGTCTTCATTTGTGAGCCATCTATACTTTTCTTATTCAGTGCCTAAAAATCATATATACTTGATTGCATAGTAGTTACTAATAGATACATTTATACCAATAGAGAGATTTTAAGTTTTATCAGTTGTTAGTTTTAATATTTACTTACATTGGTTGTTTATGTAGTTTTCTTTGTAATATTTCTCATTATACAACTAATTACTATGGCTACGTAGTTGTATAAGTGGGGATTGGACATGATAGTTCTTAGAAGCATCAATACTTGAAGGTTATTATAATGACCAAATTCTAAAGTTATGGTTTGCCTTCAACTTGCTTGGAGCATTTCAATTATGCATCAATTGTTCTCTCCGTGTAGTTAACTCTCAGACAAATCGAAAATCTTGCTGATATGTGCTTGATTGTAGTTAAATTTAGGGTTCTACTGCATTGTTGCTTTACTCTTTTTTCGTGGTTGAGTCTGCTTCAAAAAATTTAGTTTGATTTTAGAAAATTTTGCTTCTGCAGTCCTGTCTTGCCACCAACGCGTTCAATAGATGGAGACGGGAGAGGCGAAGGCTATTTTTGTGTTGTTGTTGCTGGTTTAGGGATCGGTTTGTGAAGAAGAGGGATAAGAGAGGGGGAAAGGGAAATGCAGGAGAGGGGGATAACTCTTTTCTCCGACAAAAATGGAGTGAAGAAAGGAATTATGATCAGTAAGAATATGGTTATCTTACATAACGGTCTCTATTCTGTTTGAATTGAGCTTGAGAGGCAGTGATAAGGACGAGCTGCAACCAATTCATAGTGAGAAGAGAGCTATGAACTGTGATCATGTCTTATTTCAAGTTAGAAGGTAGTTTCAGTATAAGGATTATTTAATTTGACAAGTTGTTTCGTCCATGATTCTTGGTAGTTTCAGTGCCATTCTAGCCAATGTTTAGTCTGTAATTTTTTAGAATTGATGTGCGAGTAATGACTTTCACTTAGCTTCAACTATTATGTGTGTATTTATTGGCATGTGTTAGAATTCTCTTTTCCTTTTCATTGAATTCATTTTCATACTCTAATTTTATTATTTGTACATAGGCAAATGATCATGCTCGAGATGGCAACTCGCTGATATGGCTGGTGCAAGGAATGAAGCCATCATTAGAATTCAGACCGACAACGGGGAGGGATGCCCAGGACTAATTCAATGATGATTGATGATGGTATAATAAAAACTGCAGTCTGCATCAGCACCAATTTCTAGGCCTAAGTAAAGGTATTCAACCCAGAACTCTGCTTAGCGCTAAAAATTGCCCTCACCCAACCTTGATCCTGTTTGACCCACTTCTGAAGAGTCAAGATATATGACTAATCCTCCCCGTTCGTATTTTCTTATTGACTCTTTCTGACCCTGTAGGTTGGCGCGGGTCGGGAAGAATTGGATTAGTGGGTCGGTCCTAATCAAGTGGAATCCAAATCCCTTCACTCTCACTTGCTTTCTCTCCCATTCCACAAGTGGGTAACATACAGTAATCCGGCCAACGGGCCGGGTAATAAGCTAGTTAGTGACTTAGTGTGCAATGTGCATGGTTCCTCCAATTCAAAGTCTCGTGTTATGACTTATGAGGATTGGAGAAGTAGAAGAGAGAGATCTACGATTATTGTTGGATTGTGTTTTTCATGATCCAGAATTATTCGATACACGTTTTGTAATTTCTCACAAAATTTTCACCTTCGACATGTAGAAAAGTTATCAAGTTGTGTGTATAGTATTAGTAACCATGACCACAATCAAGATGGACCTATACATAAGCCAAACTTCGAGAAAGAACAATCCACGAGAGAAGAAGAGCTCACAACCAGACCCAAATCACACACAAGGAAAGCCAAAACCCACAATAAAATGTGACGAACAAGAAACCCTAGCTCATAAACCTATCGCTTAGATGCATATCCCAACCTCTACAAAATGTCACACCAACTGAATCCGCCCAAACCAAAGAGTCCATCATTACAATGAACTATAACAAACTACCGTACGTGTCCATCTAATGAATATCTCGCAAAACGCTAAATCCAATGTAGTAGTAAGGATATTTTTTCTGCCACCGATGAGCCATGAATCCTACCACTCCATCACTGAGGTGTCGAAGTCAATTTCTTTTGTTTAAATTATTTGATGGTGACTGACTTCAAGAGAAGAGTTGGCTTGTCACCGCAATGTACTTACCTCATCAATTATAAAATTCCAGGGTTGTGATTTAATGGTCCAGCTGATTCATTTTTTTCATTTTTTGATTTGGATTGGTATGAATGTCTTTGTTGGAGAAGGGAAGGAATCATGAAATGAATGTCATGTCATCCATCTTTATTCTGCACATGGCGGGTGGGGAGGAGAGGGCTGAGGAGGACTCATCACCTCGAATAAAAATGTTTATGGGTTATAGCTTGTACAACACATGTGATTACCTCACGGCTGATGCCTTTTTCTCTAAATCACTTTTATGAGTTCATGTGATCTCGAGAATCTCATCTTTAATTCTGTAGGATTGAAGTTAAATTTGGGTTGATGGTGCTTCATCAACAGTCTATTTGCTTCCCTCTTTATTTAAAAGCAGAAAAATCTTCTTAGTTGGCAACAAAATGTATTATGTCAAAATAAGACAAAAGTCTACTAGGAATGCTACGTTGCAAGTACATCTACAACTCACTCACACTTGTGATCCAATCGAGTACATATTGGAGAAACCACGAGCATGTTTAAGTGATTTGATAGTTTCACTTATAAGATGTTTGATATATGTCGTTTCTTTGAGAGAAACAAGTGTGTGCATTTCTTACTTTGACATGTTACACTACTTGATTATGCATTGTATATTGTTTTTAGACCTCTCTGGAAATTCTATAGAGTATCAAACTACTTTAACTACGGGGTCGTATACCTGCATGAAGACCCACACAAATCACTCTTTAGGACTCGTTGATTGTAGGTTAGTCGAACTCTTAAATTCATAGTGAGATATCTTGATCATATTGTTGTAGACAATTATGAATAATGACGAAATACAACATATCCAAATTAAAGGAATGCAAATTTCCATTTGACTCGAAAGAAGCGCAACACACCGGAATACATTATATGTTGAGAATTCTTTTTTAACGACTCCATTATTTTATTTCTGAACATAATCATGGTGAGCACTAATAAGACGTACTAAATCTCCTAGTTGAGAATCCTGGAATCCGCAGTACTCAAGATGAAATGATTCCTCATGTTACGTTATACCAAACAAGACAATTTGGAGGGCCATCGTCGCGATAGTGGGTGTGTTCACTGTCATTTTGCAAGCAAGAAACATGCCTTCTTGGCCCATTGGATTGCACAAATACCTGTTAGTAATCATGCAAAAGTTCTTTCTTCGATGGTAGTGGGAGCAAGCAAAGCAATGATGTTGCCAATTAAATTTAAACGGCGCCCTTCGCCCCCAAGTGTTGTGGCGTGGGAACGCAACCCATTTATTGGGTTTGGGCCTTATATTGTTGGGCGAATGGGCTCCTTCTAAGCTCATAGAAGATAGGGCCGATTTGGTCGTTTGTTGATTCGAACTAGTTTGGTATCAACACATATCCACGTGGATGGTAGTGGACTGGACCAATTATCTGGGCCACTGCTCGGTTGAAGTCACGGAACTTTGAGCAAGACGAGATTGGGCTTTTTCTCGTATAAAATACAAGCAAAAGGCCTGAAATACATCTTAAAAAAAGCCCGGCTTAGGATTGGTTACTTACCTAAGTAACTAAATATAGACCTTTAGATCTAAATAGGCTCAGAAATTCCAAATCTAAGAGTTGTCAATTAAGGACATTTTATTTTCTCTAGTTTTCATAATCCGCTCTTATTTTCTTCGTTCTAACTTGGATTTCAATTTTTTTTTGCACACATGGAACGAGGTCGTTGTGCTCTCCAAAATGAGATCAATTTTCAATATATTTCGAGAAACTTTTTTTTACCAACTACATACCATATGACAACTTCTTCGTTTTTGAAAACGTTTGCTCAGAAGGAACGAGTTCATCATGATCTATTGGATCTACAAATTTCTGGGTGAAAAAAATACTAGACAAAAAATTATCATACTTTACCACTATGGTGTGTGGGTGGTAACTTGTGGTAAACAATAATGAAAAGTCGTAAATGACAGTTAGTATACTCCTACTATCATGTATTCAACATTCTATGTTCATACCATCATGGTACGCTTTCTTACCATATGGTATTAAATATGAGCATACCATATGGTAATGACTGGTAAAAAATTATTCAAATTTTTTTGTACTAAAAATATATCAAATTGGATATCATTTTAAAGAGCACATTTAATTTGATTTATTGTGCAAAAAAAAAAAGGACCTAAAACGAGAGAGAAATCGTCCATTAAAGATTAAAGGGGAAAAGATAAAAAAAATTTCAGAGAGATGAGATGCTAATGTCATGCGGATGCGGATGTGGACAGGTTACTAATGGTTACTCACCATATGGATTATTGACCTGATCCGCTCCCCCGAAATACATAAATATTTGGAAGTTGGATTGTTAAATATATGTATTGTTGGGAATTCATGTATAATATTATATATATGTATTATCGAATTTGATGTATTGTAAATTACAACGTTTGAGATGTGTGATTGAATATGTAACATCAGCTATTAGATTAGACAAAACAATATCAACTCAATTATCTAAATAATCACAGCTAAAAGTTGAGATATAACAATCACTCATTTTAAGTGAACGTTTCTGTCACATCACAGAAACAATCCATGTATAGTTTTTGCTAAAAAATAAAAATAAAAAATGATACATTCTAAACAACCCATGCATAGTAATAATCTAACCAAAACAATTTCAATTTTCAAAACGCTCATTCGACTAACTTGAAACACTGAAACATAATTTCGCTTCTACATCTACAATGTCCAATTTCCCCCCAAAACCAGCTTTCCATCAGGAAATGTTAATGCTGCTCTTGCACCCTTTCAACTCCCGTGCTTGAGAACTCATCAACTTGATATCTTCAATCAGAAGCTCCAAATTCTCGTAAGAAGATCCACCTTCTTTAACACTCTCCTTCGCCATTCTCGCCATCTCCACAGCCTTCCTCCCAAACTCTTCCCTCTTCTCCACCATCAGTTCATTCACCATCCTTTCCACAACCCTTCTGTCACATACATCCTTCATATCCAAACCCAACTTCAAAACCTCACTCACAATCCTACTGTTCACTTGCTGGTCCGCGAAAAACGGCCAGCAGATCATCGGAACCCCAGCCACAATGCTCTCCAGAGTCGAGTTCCACCCACTGTGAGTCAAGAACCCACCAACCGCGTCATGACTCAGAACCGCCTCCTGAGGCGCCCAGCCAACCAGGACCTTCAAATCCCCCTTCTCAATCCCTTCCACAAGCTCTTCCGGAATCTCATCACCATCCAATTCCTCCTCATGAGAAACCAACCCGGGCCTTATGACCCACAAAAACCGGTTCTTGCTACTGGTCAGACCTTCCCAGAACTCGACCACCTGCTCCCTTCTCATCACTGTGATGCTCCCGAAGTTGACGTATAGCACGGAGCCAGGTGGCTGAGTATCCAGCCACGTCAGACAGCTGGCCTCTTCCTTCCACAGACTGTTGGACGACGACGACGTCGTCGTGGTCGCCTGCAGCCGTGATTTCAGGTGCTCGTGGAGCGGCCCAATTGCGTAGGTTTTGGGGAAGAGGTGGCGGACTTGGGCCAGAATCGGGCCGTCAAAATCATCAAATGTGTTGAGAATGAGAGGAGACGGCGGCGAAGAAGAAGATTCTCTCGTCGTCCTTACAATCCGAGCCAGAACCGGGTCGTCGGCGCTAACCCGGCAGTACCCTGGTAGATCTCGACACCTCAAGAAAGATTCCATTCCAGGCACCTTCGTGATCATCCTGTCCATATCCCCATCCCCTTTTCGTCCAGGAAGAAAAGGTCGAATGAATCAAAATCAACTCCTCATAAATTTGAAATTCAGACAAAATAAGTTCAGATCTGACTGTTTCTAAATTATACCTTGGATGGGGAGTTCGCCGGCCTGGATAATTTCCGGCAGCCAGAAGTTAATCCAGAAGCAAGAAACTCCGACTGTGCGAAATCGAATAATTGGGATCCCGACTTCCACAGAGACGTCGCGGATGAACCCCAGGACGCCGTCTCCGATAACACAGGTGACCGGTGGGTCCATCTGGGCCAGCAAATCTTTGAAAATGGGCCTGGTTTTCAAGCCCATTGCCCCCATCAAGTCCAAGACCTTCTCGCCCTTGGTGAGCTGGTCCATTGGAAGGCCGTCGTCGATGGTCTTGAATTGGAACCCGGGGTATTTACGGAACCGGGATTCGGCGTCGGAGAACTGGATGAGGCGCTTGTGGTTGTAGTCGGAGTTGAGGAAGGTTACCCGGATGCCGCCTTCGCCGCCGGCGAGGGAAAGGAGCTCGGCCAGTTTGAGCATGGAGGTGACGTGGCCCTGGACTGGCAGCGGGAAGATGAGAACGTGAGGGATTGGAGAGGCTTGTTCCATTATTGCTGCTGCTTCCGACATTGAATTCAGGAGATGCGGGGTTTTGTGTGGGCTATATTTATTTCCTGCATTTTTGTTGTTTTCTTGTCACGGACTGCTACAGAGTTGGCCATTTCTACTGGTCAATTATATCTTCATCGATCTGTTATGCCATCTCCACTCATAAAACTAGTTAGTATTTTCTCACCATAAAACTTGTCTCAGTCAGTCAGCCGTATTGACTACTTAAAGCTTTGATACTTGGCATAAGTCATTAGTAAAACACCTGTAATAATGATTGATATGATTTGAGTCAGATGTCAATTGGATGTCACGGAGTAGGATCGTTTGACAAAATAATTTATATATTTTTCATATTCCTATGTACTTCATCTCTCCTCAATTTTAGTGAGATTGACTCTTTCCTTGTTGTGGGCAAGCTAACCACATTATGGTAGTGACCCACATAAATATGTATGTTTATTACTTTTTTTTTTGCATTTTTAATTTCTTGATCCGTTCTAATGATAACTTACTTGTTTTCTTACAAAAACCATGCTAGCATTAGGAATGGCAATGAGACGGAATATGGCGGGTATCTCAAATATCCATACATGCCCCGCTTCAAACGTGGGTTATGTTGGGTAATACACGTGCAAGTACAGGTAGAGGAATGTCGACCCATACCTATATAATTCAAAGATTTTTTTATTTTTAACGATAAAACAAAAGGAAAATAGTTCATAAATGGAAAGTAGAGATAATAGTTAGCCTAATGGAGTGAAATGAGTAGAAAGAGTTGTCTAAAGTATCATTGAGTAAAAATATGATCTAAGATGAGTAAAACTAGGATAAATACAATTAAATATTTAGACAAATCAAGAGAGAACGGGCCGAGACAGGGCGGGAGTGGTACCCATGCCCTGCCCCAACTTCTGGAGTTAGGTATTACTCGACTAATTGCAAGTTAGGTAAGGTAATACCCGGCCCCAATACCTAACGAGGTAAGTTCAAATTGCCATCAATATATTTCAAGTTGCCTTCTACAGATTGGTGTTCCTAGCGTGTCCTCTTGTTCAAGAGGTCTAGAATCAAGTTTGAGGAGGGAATTGTTAATTTTTTTTTATGGTTGAGGGAATTGTTATTTAATCAAAGATTGTAAAACTATATATAAGGTTATATCGAAACAATTAGTGATATGATATTTTGTACTTCAAAAATAATTTATCTGTTATTCAATTATTATATATTCTTAAAATTACCTACCAATTTAATAATGATACACGATATTCTCAATCCGACCGAGAAATATGGTATAATTTCTAAAATATCGTATTCACCGATGTCTGTGGCAGTTGTGAATTGGTGTGAAGTCCCATTTCCATGGTGTGCTGTTGGCACTTGTTGCTATCCTTTTGGTTAGATCCGATGTCGTTCTTGGCTCTCCTATTTGTTTTGTTCTTCCTGCTCTGGTTAAGTTCTTGTGAACCTCTGTTTCTGTTGAAACTCGGTTTGTCCATTTTTTCCGTAATGGATTCTTATAGCCATTAAAAATAAAAATAAAAACTTTCTAAGCTGTATACTTTGGGAGACCAGAAAGGATGACAATAAGAGGCAAAGTAGCCAAAATCCAGAATACTTATTTGGTGCTAGAGGTGGCAAATGGATTGGATTCATGGGTTGGTAGATTGGATTAGTGGATCCATGGATCAATTGGATTGGATCCAATGGATTGGTGGATTCATGGATTGGATCAAGTGGATTGGTGGATTATCCATGAATCCAAATGACATCCTCAACCAAGGACCAATATGTAAAATGTGAAAAGTTTAGGTACTAAAATGTCATAATGAAAATTTTTAGGTACCAAAACGTAATTTTCCAATGATATTTTTGTATAAAAAATTAAATTTTAGGTACCAAAATGTAAAATATAAAAATTATAGGTATCAAACAATAATTTGCCATTTGGATCCATGGATTGATCCATGAATCCACCAATCCAATTGGATTTGGATCAAATGGATTGGATTTAAATGGATTGGATTAGGTGGATATTTTTAATGGATTGATGGATTGGATTGGTGGATTGGATTGAGAATTGCCACCTCTATTTGGTGCCCAAGAACAACTAAGGGCAAGCATGATGCACTGAATTTCCCCCCCAAAACCAACTTTCCATCACGAAATGCTGTTGTTGCTCTTGGACCCGTTCACCTCCTGTGCTTGAGACTTAATATCTTCAATCAAAAGCTCCAAATCCCTGTAAGAAGAACCACCTTCCTTGACACTCTCCTTCGCCATTCTCGCCATCTCCGCCGCCTTCCTCCCAAACTCTTCCTTCTTCTCCACCATCAGTTCATTCACCATCCTCTCCACAACCCTTCTGTCACAAACATCCTTCATATCCAAACCCAACTTCAAAACCTCACTCACAACCCTACTGTTCACTTGCTGGTCCGCGAAAAACGGCCAGCAGATCATCGGAACGCCAGCTACAATGCTCTCCAATGTCGAATTCCACCCGCTGTGAGTCAAGAACCCACCAACCGCATCATGACCCAAAACCTCCTCCTGAGGCGCCCAGCCCACCAGGACCTTCAAATTCCCCTTCTCAACCCCTTCCACTAGCTCTTCAGGCATATTGTCACAACCCATTTCCTCATCGAAACAAACCGAACCGGGTCTTATGACCCACAGAAACCGGTTCTTGCTGTTGATCAAACCTTCCCAGAACTCGACCGCCTGATCTCTTCTCATCATCGTGATGCTCCCGAAGTTGACGTACAGCACCGAGCCAAGTGGCTGACTATCCAGCCACGTCAGGCAGCTTGCTTCTTCCTTCCACAGGCTGCTGGATGGCGACGAATACGACGTCGTATGGAGCCGTGATCGCAGGTGCTCATGGAGCGGTCCAATTGCGTAGGTTTTGGGGAGGCGGTGGTGGACTAGGGCAAGAATTGGGCCGTCCAACTCATCAAATGTGTTGAGAATGAGAGGATACGGCGGCGACGAAGATTCCCTCGTCGCCCTTACGATCCGAAGCAGAGTCGGTTCGTCGGAACGTCCCCGACAGTACGCCGGTAGATCTCGGCACCGTAAGAAAGATTCCGTTCCGGGTACCTTCGTAATCATCCTGTCCATATCTTCCTCGCCTTTGTAAATTCCAAGATAATTACAAAAAGTCGAATCATTTCCTATAATTAAAATAATTCTGTATTTTAAATTCAGAAAAAGATAAGTTCGTGTATAACAGAGTAATAGTACCTTGGATAGGGAGTTCGCCGGCCTGGATAATTTCCGGCAGCCAGAAGTTAATCCAGAAGAAACAAGTGCTAATTGTGCGAAATCGAATATTCGGGATCCCAAGTTCCAGGGAAACTTCGCTGATAAACCCCAAAGCGCCATCGCCGATGACGCAGGTAACCGGTGGATCCATCTGAACCAGCGAGTCTTTGAAAACCGGCCTAGTTTTCGAGCCCATTGCTCCGACCAATTCAGAGACCTTCTGGCCCTTGGTGAGCTGGTCCATCGGAAGACCATCGTCGATGGTTTTGAATTGGAAAGCTGGGTAGTTTCGGAACCGGGATTCGGCGTCGGAGAACTGGATTAGACGCGTGTGGTTGTAGTCGGAGTTGAGGAAGGTGACCCGGATGCCACCGCCGCCGGCTAGGGATAGGAGCTCGGCCAGTTTGAGCATGGAGGTGACGTGACCCTGAACTGGCAGTGGGAAGATGAGAACGTGAGGGATTGCGGTGGCTTGTTCCATTTTTGCTACTTCTGCCCCTTCAGTTCAAATGGAGTTTGGCCTGCTATATTTATACACATCTACCTTATAAATTTTTTGGGGAAAATGGATAGAGAATATTTTTTGCAGAGTTACCTTGGAAACTATGTAATATCTACCGATAAACATCATCATAAGACAAGTAGTTAGAGCATTTGAGCTCATCAGAATAAGGTTGCAGGTTGAACCATTCTTTACTTGGACTTCATTGACCGAATATCCTCGATCAAAGCCTCCAGGTTCTGGCGCGACGATCCTCCAAAGCCAACACTGGATCTCGCCAACTCGGCCATCTTCGCCGCGGATGTCGCGAAATCTTCCTTCCTCTCCACCATCAATTCAACCACCATCCTCTCCACCACCTTTCTCGTACAAGCATCCTTGATGTCCAATCCCAGCTTCCATACCTCGCTCGTAAACCTGCTGTTCACTTGCTGATCAGCGAAATACGGCAAGCAAATCATCGGCACGCCAGCTACAATCGTTTCCAGGGTCGAGTTCCATCCGCTGTGGGTCAGAAACCCACCAACGGCGCCATGATCGAGCACTTCCTTCTGCGGCGCCCATCCTGACACCACCATGTATTCTTCTCCTCGAACCCCTTTCACTAGCTCTTCAGGGAAAGTGATTGTATCGTTAGTATTGCTTCCAAGCTCGGCGACCGAGCCCTGCCTCATGACCAACAAGAACCGCTGCTTGCTGTTGACGAGACCGTGCCAGATTTCGATCAGGTCTTCTGATGTCATCACTGCTATGCTGCCGAAGTTCACGTAGAGGACGGACTTGGGTGGGTGCCTGTCTAGCCATTCCAAGCAGCTTCTGTCTTCTTCCCATAGACTTGACGATGATGATGATGGTTGTAGGGTGAGCTTTGATCTCAAGTGCTCATGAATTGGTCCGATTGTGTATGTTTTGGGACAGTGAGCTGCAATTTGGGTCAGAATTGGACCTTCTAAGCCCTCGAATGTGTTGAGGATCAGTGCGCAAGCTTTGGTGGATTGTTGAGTGGCGGATGCCAAAGCTTGGAGCGATGGATGGGAGAGATCTGGGGAGCGGCAAAAGCTCGGAAGATCTCTGCACCTGAGAAATTCCTTTGTTCCTGGTACTGTGGTTATCAGCCTTTCCATATCTTCTTCTCCTGCTCTCAGGGGAATTTCATCGAACACGTTATCAGCGTAACTAAGAAAAACGGAAAATGATATTCTGATGTTTCGTCTTCAAAGATTTACCTCGGATTGGGAGCTCGCCTGCTTCAATCATGTCAGGGATGCAGAAATAAGTCCAGAAGCAGCAGGCGCCGATCGTACGGAAATGGACGACCGGAATCCCGAACTCGGCGGCAACTTCGAGAGGGAATTGAAGAGCTCCGTCACTAATCAGGCAGTCGATCGGCGGGCGAATTGAGGGAAGCAAATCCCTGAACAGGTCCCTGGTTATGGTGCTCATGGATTGGAAAAGGTCGAGAATCCGTTCGCCGCTGCGGGGGTGGTCGGAAGGCAGGCCGTCGGAGATGCTCTGCAAGCTGAAGAGCTGGTGGTAGATGGCGAAACGGGACTGGACGGTGGTAAAGCGGAGGAGCCGGTGGTGGTTGTGGTCGGAATTGAGGAAGGTGACTCTGAGGTTGGAGAGGCAGAGGAGCTCGGCTAAGTTGAGCATGGTGGTGACGTGGCCTTGCCCCGGGAGAGGAAACATTAGAACGTGCGGCGGCGGAGCTGGAGTAACGGTCGTCGGTATCGGCCGGCGACTGGATTCTGTCATCGCTTTCCCCCCTTGATCCTTGGTGGAAGCGAAAGGAAGAATTGTTGATGACATTATGAAGAAGGTGACAGGTAAAGGAAGGAATCGCCGGTCGCTGACACCTTATCGCATCATCAAGATGTTTAAGGTTTAACACCTGTGCTAGCTTCCAAACAGATTATGACACTACAATTTGTCTTGTTTCAATGGTATAGCTTCAAGTTTGATGATTTCCAAGTGAGGCATCCTGGGCGATGTTTTCTGCTAAATTCTCCAACCCAACTCGAGGCCTTGCAACAATGGAGTAGCAGCCATTGTAGGCAAAAGAAGTATACTGTTCTAAAAAAATCGAAGCCATAGATAAGAGTTATGTACAATGAACTTGTGGGGATTACATTCTTGGATTGTGGGGCCTTCTTCCTCGCAAGAAAGAAACTACAGAAGACACATATTGGAACTTATACTGATAACTTTTCCTTTATATGTAGAAATACCGAGTTTAATGCTAAGGCTAAAAGGCCAAAAACTTGGGGTGTTCATCGCGGAGATTGCAATGAACCATATTTACAGAACTCACGCATCCCATCCAAAGAAGAAAGAACAAAAAAACAGTTTATCACCAATCTTCTTCTTCATCATCATTCTCTTCAGGATTATCAGGAACATCAACATCAATAGCAACTACTTTAGATGCACTGATCTTGGTAGAACCCGATCGAATCTTTGAAAGAAACTTTTCACCATCATTACCCTTACCCTTACCCATCACCCCAAACCCTTCTTCTTCGTCCTTCTTCAAGTCACCGGGTGGAAGGAAACAGTCCATTGACAGCCCCTTGATGTTGAAATCGACTTCCTCAATCGCCCACACCTCCTCCATTCTTGTCCTGGAATGAGTTTCTGAATTCTCACCGAACCTGAACAACGACACCTTCGTCCTCCCTGCGTGAGCGATGTTGATCCCGTCTATGGTTCTGTAGTCCTGGATCGTCGACTCCATCGTCGTCTCCCAGAACACGCTGTTGTTTCCTGGTGCTTTGATTCTCAGGAGGTGGGAGTCTTCTAGCTGGACTAGAAGTCCTGTTCGTTGGCTGAAGTATCCCCATACCGTGTGTCTTATGATCTCGACGTTGTTGGTGCTTCTTGATAGTAGTGATGAAGCGTCCGCTTCCAGTTTCAGCATGAAACAGTCCTCGCCATTGATCGCCTTTTCACCCATACAAATTGAGTTGGAGAATAGGTTGGCTGTCGACCTTGGATCAAGACCCTGTTCAGAAATGTGAAATTTCAGGTCAGCTAACTGATGGAAATGAGGTTTGGGCTTTGGCTGAAAGCTAGCTACTCTACTATGGTGGGCTGCCCTACATCATGGCATGGCCCATGTTCAACTAACTAACAGCTAACTGAAGTTTCTAAATTCTAATGCATTCCAACCATTGTGTTGACATTTCTGAACTTGAATTATCTATAAGACTATAACACAAATTTGTTGACTTTATACTAAAGAAGAAAGGAAAAGAACTTAATGGGCAAAGACTACTATAACAAACGGGAAGAAAAGCTAACAACCTGATAAAAAGTTTTGGTAGGCTAAGGTCCCACCAGAAGGGGAAAAAAAAGGGTGTGATTCTATGAGAGACTGCAAGTGGCGGGACAAAGTTTGATATTTTACATGTGAACATGAAATTCATGGCCTGGTGGCTGCTAGTTGGTGGTTCCATTCCTCCTTCCAAGAAACCAATCCAAAACAACCACCATAAAGAACAGATTGGAGGCTCAATTGGCGTTTTAAAAGAGGGCAGCAATAGCATCATCTGGTTACTTCATTCAGTCAGTCAATTGAAAATCCCCAAACACAACAGCACATGGAAATCAGAACAGAATCTAATAGCAGATGACAAGTCCCAATCCTAACAAAGATGTGATAATAAGAACAAGCTCTCTATTGGTCCCAGTTTTGGAGATGAAGTGTTTTTAGTTACCTGAAGGAAGCGTCTGAGTGGCCTGGGTGGACCTCTGGAAGCATGGGAATGGTGCCATGGAGTCTGCCTCCAAGCAACTTTACCATCACTGCCTGCACTGATCTTGCAGCCTGAAACAACCAGCTCCAAACACCAAAGCTCGGGCCTTTTCTGCCACAAAACGAAACCACCCATCTCCCCACTCCCACTTTTCGAATTCTTCACCTTGACCACCTTGTTGTTCGTTGTCCCTTCCCCGGAAGAAAATTCAGAGGCAGCCATTTTCACCTTCCCCATTGCACACATGCTCTCCACAGAATTCAGAGCCGTTTCCCCTCCCACCGCCGCCACGTACTGCTGCACAATGTATTTCGCCATCGACGACTCCTGTAAACACCCCACACGACGTCATTAACAAATTGATCCCCACTCAAAACAAGAAACCAACATGGCAACATTCTCAGAGGCATTTGATCAAGCACTAAGCGGGTAGAAAAAGAACTTACAATCGGCTGGTCCTTGAAATTCCGGGTAACGAACTGATGATCGGAGCTGATAGGGAAAGGGATTAAAGGGGCGCCAGCAACACCCAACAGGAGCTGAATCTCGGTGCTCTTCTCCCCAAATGCTGCCAACTGAGCCTTCTGGTTACTATTATACCCGCCGCCGGCGACGGCGGTGTTGGGCCTCGTCATCCAGGACTTCATACTCTGCCACGAGTAATTCTTGTTGTTCCCAGAAGAACTGAACATTTCTTCAGGGATGGGGACCTCCAAAACCGTCTCCAGCCCATCTTCCCGATCGAGATTTGGACAGAGTTTCCTCATCAGGGTTTCCTTATCAGAAGCAGCCACAACACAAAGTGAGAAGGAATATGGGTATTAGTTATAGAGAAAGAGGGGTTGTTTTCTTGGTTGGGTTTGAAGAAAAGAAACGATCTTTGGGCTGGGAGAGCGAAAGATTTGGAGAGGGGAGCGGAAGGAGAAAACAGAGGAAAGAAAGAATACAGAGAGAGTGAGTCTTGGAAGGAAAGGGAGACTGAAGAAAAGGGGGAGAGTGGTATCTGATTATTTTTAGGGTTTATCGGTTTTGGTACTCAAACAATTAACATTTTACCAACCGACCATTGCCCACTACCAACGTGGGGGCGTACTTTTGTCCATGTCGTGTCTGCACGCTCTCTCTGTATCTCTTTGTTTGCTTTGCCCCCTTTTCTTTCTTTGCTCACCTTTCTTTATTTGTAATCCTAAATTCGTTGTTTCAAGTTTCAACACCAAAATAAATCTTAATTATGTATCCAAGTTTACTCCTAAGAGATTATATGATAGAAGAAAATTGGTGCCACGATGGAGACTTACTGAAAAAAAGTAGATTTCGAAAATATTGAATTGTTTTTTTCTAAGAAAAATATAGAATTGTTAACGATGAAGAAAACTAATAAATGAATAGTGGTGTTTACGAAATGAAGATTAGCTTAATGAGAAGATAGTGGTGACGAAAATTCAAGAAAATAAAGTGTTTGAAAATCACTCTTATTTTTCATATTTCAAATAATTTGAGTTAGCAAACTATGTTGTATACTTAACAAATTTGTATAAAAGATTGTAGCGAAAGGGCTCCGGACGAAAAGAACCCCGGCGAGAAATGACTCGATGATTTATTAGAGTTCTTAATTATGGGTTTCACTAGTCAACTTTACATAACAATATGACTAAAATGTCTGTTGTTGCATTCCATTTTACTTTGGGAAGACTTCAATTTGATTCAACCCTTTCACCAACCTCAGCTTTGAAAATACCGGATATGAAGAAAATTGGGGGTCTAATCTAATCTAATAAGTTGTTGCATAATTGTCGCTTTGATGGATGGCCAAACAGAAATGACCCATTTTAATTGGCCATATTTCAACCTGTTGATATGATTTATCGTTCTGTAGCTGGTAGGGTTTCTTATATTATATTTACTACACCCTCCATTGTTCATTATTAACTAGTTCCTGGTGCATGTTGCAAATATAGATTCCGGTATAATTTTCCGATATTGGATCCTCTGTTCCTGCTGGCTGCCTGCCTATGATCTGTTGTTATTAGTTAAAAAGAATAAAATCCTCAGCTGAATCATTGTTTGGATCCTATTGCCAAATTATTTGATCTATATATTTCCTTTTTAATTCTACCAAAATTCCAAGGATCTAATCTGATACTTCTGCGCGCCCTCCTGCCTGCCAAAATGAGCAAAAACAAATCTCTGGATCAATTTTTTTTTAATCCTACAGCTTGCTTGAAGAGGACCAATCTAGTTGGTTAAGCAGCTTATACATGTTTACCTCAAACTTCTTTGATATAAAAATAGTGTCGATGTTATTTATTTGGGGGAAAAGTGTTAGTACATGCACGTCTATGGTTTTTGTTGTTGGAGATTAAAAACGAAAGAAATATATAATAGTTGTTATATCAATTGGATTGCAGAGATTGACATTTCCGTTTATAGTCATGACATGAGTATCCGACCCACCCTCTAACTTATTTGACGAGAAAATTCTTGTAATACTGGGTTGTGAGATAGGTATTTCCAAGGTTGTACGGAATGTGGGGGGAATGAGTTTGGTTATCGCGTTTGGTCCAAACCAGACGAGAGGCTAGAGTATAGATTAGAGATCAGATCACGTACTATATGATTTAGACCAGATCATGTATGTTCAGTCTGGTCCGGTATGGTCTGATCTAGATAAATCACTATAAAGGAAAATGAACAATTTGTTTAGTCAATCACACAAAAAAATTGAATCAGTAACCGAGAAAACTTTGATTTTTCCCCCTTAAAACGTAAACTGCAACATGCATGAAGAATTTTGACACCCTACATCTCGGTAAACATAAAAATTACAAAGTCAAAGCATCTCAACTTGCACCGTAACGTCATAAACATTAACATAATGTCATATGGAGTCACGATCGTCTCTACCCTCTGGTGAAATGTGGTTGTCAATGAAAGAGGGTACGAGTTTCTCAAAATTAGGATTGAGAGTTGGGTCTTGTTGAGGGAATTAGTGGAGTGCTCGAGTGGGCTGCTAACACGTATTGGGAAGTTGACTGGATCCACGGTTTGGTCCGGTAAATCGCGGTCTAGACCAGATCAGGTCAAGAGATCAAAACATCATATAATACAGACCATGGACTAGACAAACTATTCTTAACAATCTATAGTCCGGACCAAACTGTACGGTCCGGTTTGGTCCATAATTTTTTAAACCGTCTGGACCATTAAGTATTTTCTCCTCATTGATCGTTGGTACCAAAGTCGGAACCTTCTGAAAATGTAATGTTGAAGCTGAACTGTCCCCAAAGGTAGGGAAAGTTGAAAACCTTAATAGAAAAATGATGGGCTCCTATGTGTCTCTGTGCATTAACTTAAACCATTCTCTAAATTTTTAAACCGGAAAAGGTCGGCAGCCGATCGGTACCAGGGGGGATCCCGGAGCCGGAGCGCACGGCCGACATTGTTTATTCCTTAAAACAATACATGAGGTCATTAACTAAGACCAAAATAAAAGGATTACAAAGCCATCCATTCTCCTAACTTGTTGATCAATCCACGGAGTTTTCTTGGAGGAAGTTTGGCTTCTTTTGTGTTAGGGTGTGTTTGGATAGAATGATTTGAATTTGGTATTGGTACTTTGAATTTCTGAATATCAAATTGTGTGTTTGGATATTAATTACATTTTGTATGTGGATTTGTATCAAATTCATGGGGTGATTTTCAAATACATGTCTAGTGTATTACTTGTCAACTTCATACACATTTCAAAAACTAGTGATTAGAAATACCTCCTAACAAAAGAGTGGACCTATTTGTAAAATATTAAAAGTTTAGGTACTATAGTGTGAGACAAAACATATAAGGTACCAAAATGTAATTTTACCATCAAATTCTAGGGCTTTTTGTAAAATTTTGAAATTTTAGGGACTAAATTGTAAGAAAAAGTAATTTGGGTACCAAACTGTAGTGTACCAAAAATTGTAGTAAGTGACCAGAAAATTTAAAATTAAAACAAAAAATCATAAAGTTTAAAATACAAACAAATTACAAATGAGTATCCAAACAACGAATTCGAATTACATGCATTTCAAATGCTAGTACTTCAAATACATCCATTTCAAATGCTTGTATTACAAATATCTTACATTTGAAATACACCTATCCAAACGTACCCTTAATGTATTTTCTTGTACTTGTACGTCTCATCGGTTTAATGAGATTGCTACGTAGTGATACGAGAGACATTTTCATTGTTAGTAGAGCGACTCGCCTTCGATATTTCAACTCTCTTTTTCATATATGTGTTTTACTACTTTCTGCGAGTGCAGTCGGAAATTTGAATGAAGGGGCTAGAAAATCCAAGTTTGATGGATTTGAATCATGATCATTAGGGAGGATTGAGAGGAGGGACTAGGGAGGCCGGCCCGGGGCTAATCAACTAGTCTGTTTTTGAAATTTGTTACAAATATTATATGTAAATTTACCTACATTTGAAAATTGAAGAGATGCTACGGACTGATTGATAATTTGAGTGCTTATGGACTGCGGCATTTGATTGCTCAACTTTTTGTAATTACCAATCTTTAAACCTATCATCTACGGGGAAAAAATGACCTGTGAGATGTCTAATGGAGTGTCCAAGGGGTTGCTTAACAGTTAACACATATTTCTAGCTCTCCTTGAAGGCAAATCGAGGACAACTCAATTAGAATAAATAATGATCATTGTACACAATTAACAACAATAATCATCATGAATCTGTTAATTAATTAGCAATTATGTGATGCACGTTCTGATTAGAATCAAGCCTTGGATATCTTGAATTACACATTTGTAGTGTCTATTCTATACAAAGGGAGGCAATTATCGCAAGGGAAATATGGATCAATTTCCAATCATCCCATGTTTATGTACATAATAATAATTGAAAACCCTGACCATTATCGCAATCTTTGGGGGATGTTTTTTTCTTTTTCTTTTTGGGGTTCATTGATCTGAAATCTAAATAATGTATTTAGGCTAGCTTAACTAGAATCGTGGTTTAATTTTGTGGGCTTTGTTTGGAAGTGAAATGGGGAACATGGGTGGGAATACCAACTGTATTATTATTTTTGGACCCACTGAAAGAAAAATGAAAAGTAGGATTAAAGAAATTGGTGCGCATGAACTGTACAAATACATGGAACGAAAATAGATACATAGGATCGGATACGGCTATCAATTATTCATTATGAAGGTCGAAGGATGGGTTCTACTTCTATTCTATGGTTTCTTATTTGTAAAATTGTTCCCCCATAATTCAGCAAATCTTGTAGTTGTCTGTCCCCTCAATGTATTTTCACTTCATCCTCTCGTCCCTTCCGGGCTACAAAGATGCCCACAACTAATTAAGTTTGGTGAATAGTTTATGACCATTATAATATTCTCAAATTTGTGTGTAATATCATCCATTTGCACAATTTTTTTTATTACGTTACTCGTTAGGAACGTATGTTGATTCGAAAACTTGATACGAATAATATTGTGATGTTAATTTTCGACCTGACCGTAATGACCCGATCTGAACCGCAGTAGCGTAGGACGGGGCATGAGTACTGCTTCCGAACTGCCAATCCGCTCTCGACCTGTTTTTTCATTATATGCATCAAAATCTACATGTATTTCTCATCTTTCGACCTTTCTAAAATCATATTCTCATTCGAAATTAATTTTAAGACTCTATCTTTCAACTATTTATATTCGATTATTCCTACTACTATATTTCACATTCATCTATGAAGTGTTTTCTCAATGTGTTCTTGTAAATGAGTTAAAAATCAATGTTATTTTTTCAAATAGAATGGATCTGACCCGTTTCGATACTACCTGACCTGACCCACACTTGATATAGTGAGTGTATGAGTATTGAGATGTATACATGCATGCACTCCCCGCCCTATTGCCATCCCTAGAGTAATGTAGATGGAAAAGTACCCTTCTTTAATTTGCACACCAGTTAAGATTGCGATCTCATGGCAAAGAGGATGGGTGACTACTGAGTATGGATTAATTGCTGTGGTTAGTGACATGATTTGGCAATTAAGCAGGAGTACAACAGGTGTCAAAGTGAAATGGGGACAGAAGAAGGCAACACCGGAAATTGCGGAGGGTGGGTCGTCTCGTCGCAAAGGTGGCATCCAACGTTGTAATGAACTGGAAACATGCCATCCAGTTTTCCCCGTTTTGTCCAATCCCTTGTCGACCTTAAAACTAAATTATCATAATACAAAGATGATCATCAGTCTGTCACAACCGCCTTAATTTCGACACTTGGCCTATAAAACTGGCGGCTCCTTAATTAAATCAAAATAGCCGAGCCTTTTTAAAGTAGTAAGTTGATGAATTGCTCCGGCGCGCCAAAGTCCCAAAACAAGCAGAGTCCAGCCTTCCTCCAGTTGCGGATGATTGATCATTTCAGACCTAGCTTAGCTTAGCTTAGCTGTGGAGACCTTAGTTCGTTAGGTGGGAAAACAACGTTGGCAAACCTGTGGACAAAAGAAAAAAGACTGTTGTCCTCATCTCATCTGTCTTCCACAGCTAGCTAGCCTGTTTCTACTTGTCTGTTTGTGTGTTGTTCGTGTGTTCTTACGTCGCCAAGTTGGGTGCTGCAGCTTTACAGCTAGATTCCTCTTCTTAATCCTTTCTTTAGCTTATGATTTCGGGGCTGTTCTGCAATCTGAATGTAGACTTTGGGGGTTTGCTTTGCATGATGCTAAAAGAGAGAAAGTTGGATGGACGATGCTTTTCTCATTCAAGTAATAAGGCGGAATATACAATCCTAAAAAGGGGAAATCAAGAATCAAACAAGTCCAATCCATCTTTAACTAACTCGTCAAACCATATTTACGTATTAAGGATTTAACAAGTCTAGTCGATTCGATATTTGATTCTTTCTTAATTTCAAATTCAGGAGTACATATCAAATTGATATGATAGATTCAGTATTGTTGTCTTCACCATCAACTGAACTAATTCATCAATTCTTTTTAACCTACATAATAACTCATCATTCTTAATACAATGATAATGACTCTCAAAATCCCGTAGAGGAAAAAAAAATCAGAAATGTGACCACACTCTTTAGGATAAAATCGGTCAGGTGTTAGAGTAGGGTGAAGATAAGGGGTAGCTCATGGGTTTAATTTTAAATTTTGTAAGAATTGGAAATAGAGCCACACATTTGTAATTATATTTATGTTAAAATTACAATAACAAATGAAGTTTAGTCAAATGAAAGACATGTTTCCTATAACTATAGTATAATGATTTGAATCACATAGACCCGGCCTCCTTCCATATTCAAACTACTATCGGAAGTTCGTTAATTTTTTCTCGGATTTTAGAGATGTCTCGGAATACCCCTACCCACCATCTGGATCCGCCACTGAATATCATGTACTTTTAGCTCGGTAAGCTCCTTATGTAAGCAAAGTGGAGCGCCCGACTTCTGTGGGGAAATAAAACTACTTGTTCTTCAGAATGATTATGACATTGGAATGAGGTTGGGTTGGATGTGTTTACAAGACAATCTATCTTAATGTAGTTCAATTTGTTCCTTCATCAAATAAGTGGCATATGGCAATGTTAATGACAAAATGTTGTCACAAAGAATTTCAATATGTTGTCTTAAATTCTCGTTCGGTTCGTACATTACCAATGTTTCAACCGTACAATCTCAATTGATATTTGAGATGAGACCATCTATTTGACCCTTAAGATGAAGCTACATTTTAGGTTACAAGTAAATACGTACGGAAGAGGCAAGACCAAGACATATACAATTACTTACTCTAGTTCAACTGTTCAAGTAAACAAAAAAAAGGTCCCTTCCTGCGCCTTCCTGCACACACACACATGGGCGGTTAGCTTAACTTTACTAGTTCTTGCCGTGAAAACTGAAAAGGATGAAGAGGAAAAGATGAGGACAAAGCCCTACCAGCGTACCAGTCCTGCTAGACAAGTTGTGGGCCGGATCGTATTATCATTATCTTTTAACACGGGGGACAACCCCACAGACTCCGGCAAGAGGCGATGACCCAAACACGACGGGCCCAATCCAGACACAAGCAAGATCCGATCAAATCGGATCTGGGCCCACCAACGACCTCAATCGAACCCGCTCGCGGGACCAGGTACGTACTTACTTACCCGGTTACCCCCTACCCGCAGCGCGGGGAAACATAACAAGTTACTCCAGGCCCAGATCCAACGGGTTGTAATTTATGATCCTACCGTTGCCACAAAGTATCCCCATCCCAACCACAAAATATCTCCACACAAAGCATAGTTAGAAATTCGAGGATAGAACTGGAATAATCACCGGTTCGAATCGAGAGGGGAAGTAGGGAGGGGGGTTCCATCACCTGTGCAGAGCTGGCTGGAATTGGATATTGTCTTAGAATTGGCCGGGAGTTGGAATTTAGGACGATTATTATGCAAACTGACTCTCAAACAACCATTCACCTCATCCCTAAACCAAACCATCCACACTTTGTGTTCGTGTTAAGAGATCGATCACGTTTATTAACTGGACATTGGCTTGTTCGGATGGAACATGTGTACAGACATTTGCTCGGAGTTCTAGTATCCGCTATTTGTGTACGAGCTAGTAGTTTGATCAAATCAAGGTCAAACCACCAAGAGTTATTAATGCAAAGGCTGAGATGCTTTTCCATTTTCTACAAAAAGAAGAAATTGGAGGATATTATCAGATGTTTTATAAAGATTACCCACTTAGGCACTTTCTCCAGGCACACCAAGATTAATGAAACCCATAGAACTGTGGATCAATACACAAATCCTTACACAACTTATCATAGCCTTGAACCATTAAGGTCAGGGCAACCCTTTTCCTTTTCTTGAGGTGGGGATGATTTTATAGGTTTACATTTTCCAAATTACGAAGGGACATTGAAGTGGAAGAGCCAAGAAATCACAAATGCAAATACCATACAAGCCAGCAGGAAGTTGAGGAACCGATGTCCCTGCCAGAAATGTCGACCTGCGTTGCTGCCCTCCGCAGCCGGCTGCCCTGCTGCTGCTGCTGACGATGCCACCGCCAACTCATCACTTCCCTCATTCCATTGCTCCACAACAGTCTCCGCCTCCGTCGCTCCGGCCACGTTCCGCGCCACCGATCCACATATCTCGCAGGTTCTGCAGTCAACAAGATCCAAATTAGCAATACTTTCTTTGACCAAATGGTGACTTCCTGCCAGTGAGATCTGAAACTTCAAACGCAAATTGCAGCACAATTTCTTTTCCATTCCCATGAATCCATTAACTTACTAAAACAACCAATGACAACTTGTGAAAGGGGAATCAGAAAGCACATTCCTTTTAAGACCAATGATTCATCTACCGGTCAAATTGAATCCATTTGGAGCAAAACCCACAATCCCAAAGCCAGCCACAAATTTGGGAAACTTACCACATTCCCTTATTATGAACATAAATTGCTAAAATGGGTAATTGAAATTGAAGTATGAGCATGTATTTTACATACTTGTTACCCTTGATCTTGAACCAAGCCTCAGCGCAATGCTTGTGGGCAGCAGCCAAATCGTCTTTACAAGAGCAACCCAGATCAATGGGGAAGCCAGAGTCCTCATTCCCTGTATCCAAGCTCAGATGACAAATCCTGCAATCCCTCTCCTCCACATTATTACCCAAATGCAGCTGCTTCCCTTCTTCCTCATCATCATCAATCTCCGCATTCTGGCCTAGTCCAAGCTCCAGATCCACATCCTCCGAGCACGACGATGAATCTCCTCTCCTCCTACTAGCCTTCACTATCTCATCGCCAGAGTCACTGCTGCAGCTTTTCTCCTGCTCTGTTTCTTCTTCTTCCTCTTCCTCGCCGGAAGAAGGGTCGCCGCCGCCACGGCTACTGTTTCCTGTGTCTTGTAGTGGTGGTTGTTCATCGTCGGTGGATGCAATCAGGGAAGCCAAGCGGGGTTTGTGGGAAGCAGCATCCATTGGAAGAAGAGTGGGATGGGCGAGTCTTCATGTATGGAGGAGATGGAAATGGAGAGGGGGGAGAAGATCATCAATCAATACTCCCCTCTTTTCTTCCTCAAAGTACAGAGGGTTGGTTGTTGTTTTTATAAAGGAAAAGAAATACAAAATAACAAATTATTATTTTTCTTTCCCCAGAACACCTCTGGTACTGTACAGAGACCTACTACTTACTCTTTTTCTCTGTGTGTCAGTGGAGACCGAAGAGCAGAACTTGGCAGCGGAGGAAGGGAAAGAGCAGAAGGGTTTCCCCTTTACTGTTGTAGGTTCATAATTACAGAGAGTGAGTGTATTATTGAGGTGAGGTGAGGTGAGGTGGGATTGAAGGAGATGACTATGAGAGATGAGAAATGTAGGAGGAGGAGAGGAGGGGTTGTTTTCTTTGTTTTTTTTCGTGACTACTTTTATTATTAGGGGAATTGCGAGAGGTTGATTGAACTGAGCTGTTGCTTATCTCTATCGACAGGGTTAGAGGGCATGTTTCATATGGTACTAGTTACAGAAGGATACATGCTTCCAAAAATTTCATAAAGTGGACTTACTGATTGATGCACAAATTGTAAGGTACAAAATTGCTGGACCTAGATGAAGAACCGATCTTAAAAAGTTCGCACAACACAATCAGCTTGTGGATTGATGCGTCGAACGAATAAATGAAACTTTGATACGACAAAAGAGATGGATCATAGAAGCATGAGCATGTAGCAGTTTCATGGTCACCTATCGAGCCTACTTTTGCAAACAGTGATCCACAGAGGTAGGGTGATACGAGGAAAATCATGAGATTTATTAGTAATAGTGTGACTCGAAACAGTACAAGTAGATGCTTCACTCCAAAGAACTTTTGTAGTTGGTTATTTTACTACTAATCATACACAATTACACATTACAGATTATGTCTCTACTATTAACAATTTTCATACAACCCGCTAGTTTATAAAATTTCACCAGTTGTTCACTAGCTATCGGATTGATAGTTGTTGAGGATTCCTGGGAAAAGGAAGAAAAGGGACAAAGAAATGAAGCCAAAGAATTGGGGTGATTAAAGATGAGAAGTTGCACCTTCATAATTGATATTTTGCCACAGACAGCAAGAGGTTAAAATTAGGTGTCGAAAAGCAAGTTTCCCATTTGCCTCTTTTTGCTTTTGCTAATAGCTTAGCTTCACTGCCCTTTTCCTTTCTCTCTTTTGGGGCTGTTTTCAATTGCATCACGAGCCTCTGCGGCTGTTCAGCCCAGTTATGCATCCTAAAGCAGATGAGCAGCAGCTTGCCTCATCATTGCCCATAATGCTACTTTATTTCTCCTCTGAGCCTGAGGGATAGACCGTGTTATGTTAGGACTTAGGACGCTATCTCACCGTCTTTTAATTCTCTGCAATTTTCTAAATTTGGTGACTGCATTTGTTTGCTTGATTATACCTAAAATACGAAGAGATGTTAATTTTGAAGCTTCAAAACTAACACCACGAAACCAATTTGGAACTAAACCTGCGAGGTATCGATCTACTTGTGCTTCGCCAACCAGACTACAATGTGCCCATAATAACGACCTCATGAACATGAACAGAAGCACCCGGACTTACACGACGACCTCCAACATGGTCGTACATTGCAGGTGAACACAGCCAAACACCTGCATCAGGACCGTGCTCCACCTGCTCGGTTACCAACTTGACTGCCCAGTGAATGGAGCAGACACAAGGATTTGCACTACCGACCTCGAGCACATCCAAGCGCAGGCCTGTGGAACCAGCGAGAAGGCTACAAGCATGACCCAAGTCTCCTGTCTCCGTGCCATCTTACCTGATCCGCATCTGAGACCAACTCTGGATGACAGCAAATCATAATTCCACCGTGTTTCACAATGCAGAACAAATTTACAATAGAAAAATCCCGATCAAACACCCCTCATCAGAAAAAAAAAAACTGTGAATTTACAAACAACATTCTCACAATCCAGGAAGTTGTCTGTTTTTATGGTCATGAAACATCTAATTCACCGAGTTTCGGAATGTTCCTACCTTGGGAGGAGCTATAGACAAGTTTCACTACTTAGTAAAAGCCAAAAGCAACCCATGACAGTTACCAACGTATCCGGGACTCTATAAGCCAATTTTGGGAAATATACGAGCCTCAGTTCAACAAAATAATCATATCAACTATCAAGTAAAAGATAGTACCGCCCACGATGAAAGATTCTGTTCTTTTCCACCCAAGAAGGAATATCTCGGAGTACGAACTTTTAGCTGCATGGTTTACTAGCTCAAGCTTTCGACTTCAGCTCTCATTGCTAAAGGTCTAGCAGGCATATGACATATGATCTGGCATCACCCCGACGAACTTGGTTTGTCCATCCATATGGCCATTTCTGAAGTTCTGTTCAGGCATTCCCATTTGTGAAGCCAAGGCTGGTGCTTGAGGGACGATTCTCTGGCTTGCAGCAGCACTGCCTTGTAAGAAACTGTTATTGCTGTTCTCAAGCCCACTCTTTATCCAAGCTATGTTGTTCAAATCTGTGGCGATCGAGATTAGCTCTTGACTTGAGAAAGAGGGGAGTGATGAGTCTTCGTAGTCGACAAACTCGGGTCCCAATACTGAGCTCCCAGACAAGCTACCACCACTTGGTGTTGAGCAGCAGCCAAACCCACATTTGGGAGGAACTGTCGGCTCGGTGCAAATACCTTCAAGAAACTTTCCACTTCCAAAAGAGTCTGGTTTTGAAGCTTGGACCAAGGGTTCGTGGTTTGGAATTTGTCTTGAGTGACAGGTTGCCCTGCTGGCTTTTGGGCCATTCGGAGGAACATAAACACTGAATGCACTGACTCTCGCCACCGGACGAGGAAGGCTAGGAGGCTGTTCGTGGGGTAAGACCGGGGCATAGTGTACCACATCCTGAGTATTACAAATCTCCTCATCCATTTGGGGTCTTTCTTCCATTGCAACATCTCGCTGTTCAATGGGCTTTACTGAATTGCCTTCACCAACCGAAGGAGTTTCTTCTGAAGATGATGCCTTTGTAATGTCGTAGCTACCATTTTCCATCAGCATCATGTTGACAGCTGCACGTTTGAATCTTGGCAGCTCAGAATATCTGCGCCTTAGAGTTGAATTCCAGTGATTCTTAATAGCATTATCTGTTCTACCGGGCAGTAGTTTTGCGATTGCTGCCCATTTGTTTCCATGGACAGCATGAGCTGAAATAATGATACGGTCTTCTTCATCTGCAATATTGAGTTCACATTGATTAATCAATGATAGCATTTCAAGCAAAACAAACCGAATAAGAGAAAGGATAGAAAGCAACCGATGAAAGAGCAATCTTCCCCAATATGTAGTGATAGGGCTCCTCAAAGTTCTACATGTAATATCACACAAACAGTGGACCATATTTAGGGATCAAAAGCAGCACAAGAAAATGTGTATGTTGATTGGTGCTAGTCCATGGAAAAAATTGGCTGGGTCGAAAGGTCTCGTATATTTGAAGAGCATAAGTGCGCGATACAATAATATAAGCATATATCTTTGACCTCTTAATATGAAAGAGCTGGAATGCCTACTACAAGGCTACAAGCCTACAACAATCATCTCTCATGCTTATTGGGTAGGATCTTTTAAGAATGAGGTTAACAAACAAGAGCAACACAAGCAGTTGTGTCATCCAGCATGGAGGCATGATGTCAGAACGATACAATGAAAGGAACTAACATGACATATGAAGCATCGGGATATTTCCACCCAAAAAAAAAAAAGAAGCATTGGATATGCTCTAAGGTCGGAGATAACTACCAAATAGAACCTATAACAACTAACAAGAAATATGATATGTTCTCATAGGAACCATCTTGAGAAACATTATGTCGATTTAATTGTGTCATTCCCACATCTATAGCACCTTCACAGGTACCTGGATCTGTAATGTCTTTCTTCAGTCAATACATTGCTGACTTGGCAAGCTAAATATAGGACAGGAAGCATAAACCTTCAATACTCGCCTTCCCCTTAAGAAGGATTCAAGGACTGAAGTCATAATCAGTAACCATGAAATTGACTGACATAAACATTAACACAGAGTCAGCTTCTGGGTTCTTCTTGCCCATGAATGAATCCTAGTGTTCCTCTACCAATTCAGCGGAACATACTCAAGTCCATACTTGGTTCAAACACATTGATAACTAGTCAATGGAAGATAGGCGAAGGAAAGTTGTCAATTGAAGACCACCAAAACATCAGATGCTCTGTTATCTCCCTAAAACAAACTCAGCCTCGGCATCAAACGTACTAAGAAACCCATTTGAACAACCTCACAATTCGTGAAAGATTTCCAAACAATCGTGATTCATAATCAGTTCCGCAAAGCTAAGAGGCAAACTGAAACAATCAGACAGTTCAACACCCTGAACAAAATTCCCCCGCAACCAAGAAACGCAAGCGAAAAGGATACCGAACACGCAAGATCAAAAGCAAAAGAACCCTTTGAGAAAACCTAAAACCCCTCTGGATGGGAAATGCAAGGCAGAGACAGAGAGCGAGACCGGTGGGAGAGATTCAGGAGCAGTAAAAGCTTACCAGTGAAAGGCTTCCGTTTCAAACAAGGATCAAGCTGGTTACACCATCTGAGCCTACAAGATTTACCAGACCGGCCTGGAATCCCCCGAGCGATCAAGCTCCAATTCCTCGCCCCGAACTTGCCCACCAGTTTACCTAGCACCGTGTCTTCCTCCGGCGACCAGGGCCCCTTCACTTTACTGTTCACCACTCCTCCGCTTCCACCTCCGCCGCCACCCCCGACCTCTGAAGACCCACCACCTCCACCGCCGCCAGTCGTGGGAGGCGAGTCCACCAGATTGCCAGTATCATCCTCCTCTTCTTCTTCCTCCTGCGCTTCCCTCATCGCCTCATCGCCACCGTCTCGGCTCCCCATTCTCTCTTTCGACTAGTTTTGAATTTTGGTTTTTCTTTGTACCTACCTCTCTAACTGCAAATGGGGCAAAGAGAGAGTTTATTGGGCTGATGTTTCGGGTTTCACGATTCCCATTTTCCGGTTACTGTAAAGCCGGTTTCCTTTCGAAATTACTTTCCTGCCCATGAAGCCGGCATCGTTTCGCGCCGCTTTTCTGTTTCTCGCTCTCGTTGTAGCATCGATTTAACCAACCATTGACTTCAAGAGCTGGATTGTGGAGGAAGAACGTGTTGAGTTTACGCTTGTACCCCTGGAAATTGGTGGTTTAGTAGTTGAGAAGGCGGGGTTTTCCGGTAAATCAGAATAGCTCTTTGTGGGGCACACTTGGTAATGTGACATTACATTC